CATTTAGAACACAGCATCGGGCAGGAGGCTGTGCACGAAAAATGCTGACAGTGTGAAAAATAGCACGGGGCTCCAAGTCAGGGCAAATTTTGGATGGACCGTGCGAAACCAAAGTCCCAGCACATGTGTTCATCTGCTGGGTGGAATAAATGACTCACAGCTGATCCAACAGAGCCAGAGTTCACTGCAGCCTCAGCCCTCCTTGGGCTCTGCTAAGGTGCAAGCACTGATTGATGGATTTTTCCCTTCACTGCTTGTGTCTGGGTGGATGCTCTGCTGTCAAATAAGGAGCAAGTGTGAGGTGCTTCTTTAAGAAGCCAGGTGAAAATAATGTATTAAAAAAAACTATTTTACACTTCCAAACTTGAATGCAGGATCCATGAAGGGAAGGAAATATCCAGTGTCTGGGACATTTCTGATACTCCCTTGTCATTATCGTGCCTGCCTAGAGAATGACATGGACGTTGTAGCCTCCTCTTTGAGTATATTATGCAGGAATCCACCACTTTTTGAGGTGGATTTTGAGGTTTGAGGTTAAGTGATAGATCTTCAGAAGGACAGACTCAAGACCAGAGAAGAGTTTTGTGTCTAGATCACAGGACAGGGACTGAGGTGGTCAGACACCTCTTCTGGCTCTGCCTGCTCTCCACACGTGTTGGTGCCCAAGCCTCTTCATCTCTCTGTGCCCAAGATCCTTATCTATAGGAGGGCAGTAGTATCTCCTCATACCTGTTTAGGTCCTGTGATTTCAGATAGGGACCATGCACAGCAGAGGACCTTCAGACCTGCTATCGTGCTATGAAACCCCAGAATAAAGAGAACAAAGCATCTCTCGATGCCAAGATTCAACAGTTTTTCAAGCCGTCACAGCTCGACTGTGCTAATCGTTACCGTAATAGGCGAGAAGTTTGCCAGAGGTGTCCAAGCACTGCAGTCAAAACGAGAAGGGCCTCCGTCTTCCTCTGCTGGCTCCGTAGCAAAGCCTCTGTGTTCATCCCAGAATAGCAATGTACAAACCTCGGTGCTTCTCTTCCAAACCAATTTGCATTTTTAGAAACTAATTTGCAAAGCCTCGGACCCTGTGGCTACAAGCAAAGCCTGGCTGTCTGAGCGGCACTCCTCAATTACGGCATCTCCAGGACAGCAGCTTTTCTCAAAATGATGCTGTAAGCTTTGACTTGCGGGCAAATTTTCGCCTGGGAGAAGAAAGTCCTGCCAGAAGACTCTTGGGATCCCACAAGCCAAGAGAGGAGGGGTTGGGGATGGGATCAGGGTAACCACAGGTCTCCGGGGGGAGCTCCTGACACATGGCACAGCCTGGGACCCTGTTTTCCAGCACACCTTACCCCGCGCCCTCACCGACGCTCCAGCAATCATGTTACTGCACAACGCCCAGCGGCCCTCACCAGCAACCACTGTGAGCAATTCACTTGGAGCCACAGGAGGTTACTAAACCCTGCCGAGATACTCTCCTCATTTCCTACATCCATAAGCCGCACAGACTTCAGCGTGACAGTACTTTTTAGGTATCAAAAGTCACAGCCTTCCTGCGGTAGGCACAAAGGCGAAGTCGCATCACGGTGAGCCGCGGAGCATCTACCGTCCACGCTTCTTGGGATGCTGGACTGTGGGCCACAGCTGCCAGGAGGACACCCAGATGGTGGGGAAGTGGCTGCACACTCACCTTCAACCCGTTCCCCTTTCGTTCACAGCTTGGACTGAGTAAGAGGGGGATTAAAACTGATACGCCTTATCTCAGACCTTCCAGGGATTTCTGTGCCAGCCGCCACAAACAAAGCGCTCGCTCGCTCTGAAATAAGTAACATTTGCAAATAATACGTTCCACAGTCAGAGGAATTATTGCACTTATAAAGCAGGTATATTTGTCATACTTTTAAGCAAAGCTAAACACTGGCTATCTGAGACTAAACCAACGCTCCAGCTCTTCTCTGCTGCGTGAGCAAGGTAGTTTCTGATACAGATAAGCCAGCAAGAAACCAAATCGGCACGTCTATGGCAAGCAGCGCTCAGGAAACGGACGGGACCGGTCATCACGCTAATTCCAGAGCGCAGGATTAAACCGCACAACTGCTGCAACAAATGCACAAAACAACGGCCAGAAATGCTGCGTGGAATTCCTGGGTCTCTCTGTACCGGCGCTTAACTTGCAGCTTCCCAAAAGCAACCCCTCTCCCCCTTGCCAGGGCAGTGAAGAGAGCTCTGATTATCACCAGCAAAAGCCAGAGCGAATTGAAGTGGTGGGGGAAAAAAAAACGCCACTGGTTACCAGCTGGAAACTAGAAAGGGACCCGATTCTGGTTTCCCTGACAGTTTTGTTGTATTTTCCTATTTTTAAACAATTTATCGGATTGAGAATTTTGCTAAACGCCTCTCTGATCGCACGAGGGCACACAGCAGCCTGGCACCTGCATGGGACAGAGCGACGTAAGCACACGGGGAGGGAAACCCTCAGCCCCTGCGTTCAGTTTGTGTTAAATGCACAAGTTTAGATGTGCTCCAGTAAACTGCTTAATGCATCCATGAATATTTTGTTATATACATCATTTTTACTGTCAGCTGGTTTATATCCACAGTTTAGATTCTTATAAAATTTACAAAATTGAAATACTACTTTTTTTTTTTTTTAAAAAACAGTTGGTTTTTTTTTTCCTACGCTTTCTGAGCAGAACACCCCACGTAGGATCTCACCAACCCACAGCCCAGTGCCAGGGCGGGAAAACCAAAGCAAAGGAAAATCTGCCAAAGGCCGCGTACACGTCAGGACAACCTCTCCCCTCGCAGCACCTACGGAAAAGCAGGTGCCTCTGCCTCCACGGGGCTGAAGCTTTGATTTCATCATTTGAACACGATGCGGAAATAAGCACCAAAATAAACAGATCCATAAAGCAGCAGGAACGCAGCAAAGCAGTTGGAGACTTGTACAACGAGAATGATCTAAATCCAAGAGCCGTCTGCGCGCATGCTGCTTAGCTTTGCGACACCCTCACGGCCTTCAGCCTCCAGGACAACCCGGGATGCACCGACGAGCAGGGAAGCAAACCTGGGAGAAGCCTCTTTCTTTAACTGGTGTTTTTTTTTTCTTTAAAAAAAAAAAGCACAGTGATTTTTTTTTTTTTTAACCAAGGCACCCTCCCGCAGTGCCCTCCCCACGGCCCCGAGAGCCAGAGACCCCCTTTCCCCGTCCGACCCCAGCGGCCCCGCAGCGGCCGGGGTTATCGGCGGCGGGGCAGATCGGCGGAGATGTGTGTAATTGCCCTGTCAGGCAGCTGAAAGGCGCTCGCCTTTAGCTGATGCCACTTCAAAATGAAATTCTTTCTTTGGCATGGCTATGTCTGATATGCAGGCATCAAAGGGGAGGCAGCAGGTCGCCGATGCCCCGGGCCACACATTTCCCTTCTAAAGGCAGGAATGAGAGTGTCAGCTCGGGGCCGAGGGGGCCCCGGAGACACGGCAGCAATAACCCCAGCCCCCTACACGTGTGCCCGGGCTCCCCAGAAGTGGGGAGATCCCCCCGGTCTGCCGTAGCCCTGTAGGCGCTCTGCACCCCTGCAAGCGCCCACGCAGAGCCCTGCCGTGCCGGGGACGCTCGGTCCCCGTTAGCAAGCACCCATCGCTGCCTCGTGGGGTGCCGGGAGGCTGCGGGGACCCCGCAGCACCCGGCTGGGGAGGCACAGAGACACCCAAAGCTCTCTGGCAGAGGAGGGGACCCTGTGGTCTGCTCCTGTGCGCCAGCACCCAGTGGGATGGAGGGGTGGAAAAGCCTCGCTGGCACAGAAGAGGTTGAGGGCTGGTTTGGGTGGTGGTTGTTTTTTTTTTTCGTTTCCAAGAGAAACGCAGGGCCATGCTTGCCTCCCCCCGCAGCTCCCATCTCCTCTCTCCACCTGCACTCTTCAGGGAGCCAAGGCTTCTGGCAAGCTTTCCACTCCAGTTTTTATTGGTTTCAACTAAGCTGCCCCTTTCGGAGGGTTGGAAAGCTTCAATCATTAAAGGAAAAGAAAAAAAGAAAAAAAAAAAATGCATCATGCACCCTCGCCCTGCTCCCCTCCCTTCCCACTCCCGCGATCACCGAGGACACGAGCCCCACGCGCGCACGCACGCACGCCACGGCACAGCTCCCTATTTTCCAAGCCAAACACAGTCCGTCCGACGCGTTTGAGCAGGTTTCAGGCCCTAGACACCTCCAACTGTACCTGCTCCGCTCTGATCACCTTCCTGCTCGGAAGCAATTTGGAAAGGACACAGCACAGGTAGCTATTAGCTAACACATATTTAACTGCTCCAGATATCTTTTTTTTTTTTTTTT